ATAAAGGAAAAATTTGCAATTTATATTTTTTCCTAATCAATGATGATGATGATGAAGAGAGAGAGAGAGAGAGAGAGAGAGAGAGAGAGAGAGAGAATTTGAAATTAATTGTAAGAAACAAAAAACAAACAATTGCCAAATCGCGAATGCCAGAATGGATGGAGTAATACAATGATTACATATTGTTGCTGTTTCGGATGAATGATTGTCAAATTGGTCACACTAAATCCGTAATAAAGTAAGTCTAGAAAATTTCCACGGTCTTATCATTGTTTTAATATGTTAGTCGTATATTCTGAATTGACCACTTGTAGATGAGTCGCGCATAACGTTAGCGGTTGCGCGCTTTACGCGCACTGACTGACAACTAGCTCAACAAAAAATTATGTTGCTTACGTACATCACCGTATATGATTCATCACAAAGTGGTGTAAACGGATGGCAACATAATTTATTCGTCTGAACGCGTAAACGTGTGCACGTTGTTCGGTGCTTAAACTGCCTAAGTCGTCTAAAGTGTGAGCTTTATATTTTCTATGCATCCATCCCTAATAAGAAAGTGTAACGCGGATTTGATAATCATAGAAAGAGAAACTTACTTCGTTCCTTAGTACCGCGCACTGTTCGCACAAGGACTTCCTTATCGTCTTCCTCCCACAGGTCAGCTTCCGCCCGTGCGATTGTAAAGATCATCGATAGGGCAACGGCCACGAGAGCCAAACACCAGTACAGCTTCATTCTGTCACAAAGAAATGGAGAACGCTTTATTAAGCTTCATTCTTAACAAGAACCGTTTTGATTAAGCAAAAAGACAGAAAGAATGCGGGTCTAAAGATAAATTGATATATAAATCTGTTAACTGGGTAATTACTTGGCCAAAAACGGTCTCTATGCGTACCGCAGTTAAAAGTGACCAAGAGGAATGAGAATTAATTCGTCTTATTCACAAAAAGAAATACGAATACAATTTAATTTATTTTATATTATTATTAATATTATCATTTATGTTTATTTCTATATTACATTTCTATATTATATTTTGTTTGAAAAAATTAATTTTTCTATTAAAGTTTTTTTTATAAAAATAAAATTTAACAAAAACTAGAAAACATTTCAAACAACTCAATATATATGTACAGAAATTTATGGTAATAACAAAGAGTTTTGGAGTTAAGTGTTCTTCTCGCTTTACTTTTTAAATGTTCCTGTATCGTAACAAGTAAGTACGAAATGTATAACTCAAATGTCATCACAAATCGTGGCAGCGAGTGGATTGGCGAGTTTTCAAAAACGACAATTAATACTCGCTAATTCGATGAAAGCGACGCGCGCACGGTCCCTTCCCTCCTCCACACACATACAAAGAGAATGTCCTTTTCAAAGTTAATTGAGATTTCAAGATAAATGAAAGTGTATCAAATTGACAGTAAAATTACCACAAATTTTACCACCGAGTTTCACGATTAGTTTCTCATGTTCTCAAGCAACGCGTCTCTCGGGCTTCAATCTTTTTCGCGAAAGCAGTTTACACTGTACTTTGCAATGTTAATTATGGCTAAATCCGTCAATCACAACAAAAAGCCTGTCGTGCCGTGTCAATGTTGAACTCGTGAAATCTCAGCTATCGTTCGTTCGGCACTCTGACGCAGTTATTAAACTTTTTCAAGGCAAGACGTACTTCCGTTCTTATTAAGATTAATTCGGATTATTTCAACTATCTCCGTGCAATATTTGATAAAAGTTAATGTAAAAAATGACTATAAAGATTTTAATGTATTTAATGATTATTATAATCAATCATTCTTAAAATCAACTTTAATATCGCGCAGATTCGACCATTTGCAAAAGATGTTACTATCCGCGTGTTGGTTTTAGCGCACGAAAGCTGAGAATTGATTGATTGGAGAGTGTGCGATACGCACACGACACGCACTAACGATTGATTCAAGGTCTTTCCTTAGATCGATGACGCGCAGCTTCGCATGTGAAGCGATCCAACCATGACGATGATCGGAGCCCCAGCCACCAAGGCCAACGGGACCAATTAATCATCGGCGATAATCGGACGAAGGGGATCGGACGGAGATGTCGCGTGGGGGGAATTTGGTAATCGACATTTTCATCAACGGTTATAGATTATTCTCTCTATGTACCGTCGGGCTTATGAATAAGTCGCATCATCTCGGTTGCTCTGCTCGAAACTCGAGGAACGTATTCCAAATTCAAAAACGCGGATGTGTACGCAGATTAAGGACTTGAAAGCTTCCGAAATCCCAGAGCTCTGAGTCCAGGGATTCCATCATCAGACAGCTGTATCGTGCAAACGCGGTTAAGAGACCCCGGAGACATAAGTAGATTAAAATACAAACTGGAGTATATCGACGACATGTCTCACGAATCTATCAAATTCTTAATTGTTAAGAAATAAAAATGCTTCATTATAAAAAATAATAATTTCTGTGAAAAAAAAACAATTAAGCAATTTGCAGTCCATTAATTAATTTAAAAATTCCAAATTCCAAATCGTAAACAATGTGGCAACTAGAAATTTCTTTGCAAACACCGTGCTTTACGAAAAAATCTTATAGGTGGAAAATATTATATATATATACATATACACGTGGTTAACGATCAGTTTTCAAATGACCCATATATCCGTTATTAATACTCCGTTATTAATGAGCGACAAAAAGATGTGAACCAAAATGCGATACACATTACGCTTTTGATACCATACATTTCGCTCGTGTACGTATCCGTACAAGTCATTCTCTTCCATTAGTCGACATTAAAGTAATCAGTCCACTCGTCGTCTGCAATCTTGCTGGACTACGAGCAATATCGGTCGTAAGCGACACTCTCCCCCTTTGTCGCAGATCTCTGCTTTACGTCTAAACGATCCGCAGGGAAAATCGCGCCGTCAATTTCGTCACGGATTGACGGAATTGACGGAATTATCGCGATGCATCAGAAATGCCGGACGCGAATGAGACAGCAAGAGAGCGGACGTTGGCTTGTTCAAGTTCGCCACCGAACTTATTGTCGGTCCAACAACGTTGGTCGCGATGTGGCTACGCAAGAGTGAGAGGGATATCGGCGCAAGCAAAGCAGATAAGCATGTCGTCGAATATAGACCGGCGCGGACACGCGGTCGACGTGTCCGAGAGAGAGAAGGCAAGGGGACGTTGCCCGATGTCCAGATATATGTACGTTAGTCGCAACACAATTCGTACGCTTAATTCACGAGTTTGCTCAAGAGTTCTGTTCTCTTTTTCTCTTTCTCGCATCTTAAATATTTCACTCATTTCTACAAAATAAAATTTTCATTTCCACAGATTTTATTTTGGAAAATTGTGTCGCAAGAACATTCAACGGCGATCAAAGGATTCGCGATAAACGGAGCGTCAATTATTTCGTTACCCTTTTTAAGCATTAAATTGCAAAAGTATTTGATAAAGATTTAAAAATTTATGATAAACCACAAAATGATTTCCTTCTCTGGTGTAGCACCCAAATTCATAAACAAGTATTTGTGCATAATCATGCGCACAGAAAGAATTGGAGAAAAACTGTCACGTTGCGCAGCATTATATAGCTGGTGAAATATCGCATGTGGAATGCAATTTATCAATAGAGCAAAATGAAGCCCATAGATAAAGCACGATGTTATTGCGCGCGATATCAGACTTAAAAGGCTGACAGTGTAAATTAAAGGCGAAACTGCGCTCCAGAAGCGTGATTCACGTTACCCTTTATTACTGTCACTTGAAACTATATGCTGAATGCGTAACATTTTTTCCCGCGATAGGAACGACGAATTTTTCGTCGTTCAGGCCGACAAACTTTTCGTTCGCTTCAGATTCTGTAGGCGGAAAATTTCTATTTTTTCGGACATGTGATTCTCTCTTCGGCATACGAGTTCTCCTAAATATTTCAGTCTCGAAAACCTTGCTGTGACTGCTGGCCTTTTCTAAAATCCTCTTTGTGAAAGTCTTTGGAAACTCGAATACTTAAAAACTTTGTTTTTAAAGTCATGTATGTACGAGCGGGGGCGAGAGGGGAAGATAACTTTGATTTCTCGGATTTTTGTATACCGTATACGTAACGTGTGTATGCTGTACTTGCGCCACAATTTATCATCGGCAAAAATTGACGGTTGATTGTTTAAATCGACGCCGAACGACAAGACGGAAATATCATGTTGTATAAATAAATTGCCCTTCGACCTTTCTTTCTTTCGTCTCCCTCTCTAATGTCGATCACTTTACAGGCCAGTCAAAAAGTAACGCGAAAGTAATTTGTCACATATTTTCAACAACCATTTGTCCATTTCTGCGATACAATCATCAAAAAAATATCTGTTCAAAATTTATTGAAATAAATTTTATTTTATAGGAGCGACTCTAAGGAGCAATTATAGTGAGCCAAGAGAAGAGTAACAGGCAATGCAAATAATTAGCGTTTCGTGGTTTATCGCGAGTTTCTTAATTTTTATTAAATATTTTTGCTATTAAATTCTTAAAAAAAAAAATCTGTCGAAATAAAAATCTGATGTCGTGCGATTAAAATATTTATAAGTCGCGGAAGCGAAAAAAAGCAATGCAACAATTTGTTATTTACTCCTTCGTCCCTTATAGAATCCGATTTAATCTATATTTTTTTTGCTCACTATGCTTACGACAAGTAGAGCAGAATTAAACGTGGTGTCAAGGCGATCACATGAACGGGAATAAAATCCTAGAAAGTAAGAAAGTCGCCTAGAAACAAGCTCTAGCTTTTAGTCTCAGTGTCGCTATTGCGCTCGCGCGACGCACTTATAAATAGCTCAAAAATAAGGGGTTAAAAGATTGCAGTGTGGCTATTGCAACTCCTAAAAAAACTCGTATCATCTTTGTAGATTCACGCGTCGGTCACGCAGCTGCTAGAAAGTAAACGAGCACGAATTAATCCTCATTTCGTTTCCGGCCCGCGCATCTCGGAATTATGCCGTTCGCGTGTAGCGTAACGCGAAGAGAATCTCGGACGAATACATGAGCGAATCGTTCACGCTGAGAAAAAGACGAAAGTAGAAACATCAAAGTCTTTCAATTTCAATTTCAATTTCAATTTCAATTTCAATTTCAATTTCTATATAGATAATAATAGTTTGCTGTTTATTCGCACTGTTTAAATTCAATTTGCGTCACATTTTCCTCCTCTATTTCCAATCATTTCCAACTGGAGATTATCGATGTAACCGACATAGAATGGGCAACATTCTTGTCAGTTCTTTTTCGGCATCCTTGTCATTTAATACTTGAAATTCGTATCGTAAACATTACTATTTTAGTGTTCTACATGTTGCGCGATACTCGCGTGATTATATTCGACATCCAGAAGAAAAGAAAGATTGAAAGATGAAAAAAAAATGTGAGAAATTGAGATAGGACGCGCGCTCGATAGGACTGATGTTTTATAGGAGATTCCGAGGATAGCGAGAGAGCTACACGAAGAGCCCGATAAAGAGGAGGATAAAAATCTCGGCTAACAATAAAACCGCGAGAGCAAGACGCGCGCGGGGACGCAAGCGGAACGGAAGGAGCATTGATCGTCGTTGCATCGCAGACGCGCGTGCGGATGAAGAAGATTGCTGATTCCAGTCTCGCGTTACGTCGGCTCGGTACGCCCGCGGACCACCTGGTGGACCAAGCTAAGTCGCCAATTGTTGCGTCAAATGTTGAAAAATTTTTCAAAACCATCGCGAAAAGCGGCATGATTGACGGGAGGGTGGGGAGGGGAGGTGGGTCTCGGTTCCGCTCGCTCGCGAAAATCGATCAGCAGCGCCGGGCGGC